CACTGATCCGGACGATTCTAAATCGCAAACCGGATACGTGTTTTTATTAAACGGTGGAGCTGTAAGTTGGTGCAGTTCTAAACAAAGCGTCGTGGCGGGATCTACATGTGAAGCGGAGTACATAGCTGCTTCTGAAGCAGCGAATGAAGGAGTCTGGATGAAGGAGTTCATTTCCGATCTAGGTGTCATACCTAGTGCATCGGGACCAATGAAGATCTTCTGTGACAATACTGGTGCAATTGCCCTGGCAAAGGAATCCAGATTTCACAAGAGGACCAAGCACATCAAGAGACGCTTCAATTCCATTCGGGGCCAAGTCCAAGTGGGAGACATAGAGATTTGCAAGATACATACGGATCTGAATGTTGCAGACCCGTTGACTAAGCCTCTCTCACGAGCAAAACATGATCAGCACCAAGACTCCATGGGTGTTAGAATCATTACTATGTAATCTAGATTATTGACTCTAGTGCAAGTTGGAGACTGAAGGAAATATGCCCTAGAGGCAATAATAAAGTTATTATTTATTTCCTCATATCATGATAAATGTTTATTATTCATGCTAGAATTGTATTAACCAGAAACATGATACATGTGTGAATACATAGACAAACACATAGTCACTAGTATGCCTCTACTTGACTAGCTCATTAATCAAAGATGGTTATGTTTCCTGACCATAGACATGTGTTGTCATTTGATTAATGGGATCACATCATTAGGAGAATGATGTGATTGACATGACCCATTCTGTTAGCCTAGCACTTGATCATTTAGTATACTGCTATTGCTTTCTTCATGACTTATACAAAGTTCCTACAACTATGAGATTGTGCAACTCCCGTTTACCGGAAGGACACTTTGTGTGCTACCAAACGTCACAACGTAACTGGGTGATTATAAAGGTGCTCTACAGGTGTTTCCGAAGGTACATGTTGGGTTGGCATAATTCGAGATTAGGATTTGTCACTCCGATTGTCGGAGAGGTATCTCTGGGCCCTCTCGGTAATACTCATCACCTAGGCCTTGCAAGCATGTAACTAATGAGTTAGTTATGAGATGACATATTACGGAACGAGTAAAGAGACTTGCCGGTAACGAGATTGAACTAGGTATTGGATACCGACGATCAAATCTCGGGCAAGTAACATACCGATGACAAAGGGAACAAAGTATGTTGTTATGCGGTTTGACCGATAAAGATCTTCGTAGAATATGTAGGAACCAATATGGGCATCCAGGTCCCGCTATTGGTTATTGACCGAGAATGGTTTTAGGTCATGTCTACATAGTTCTCGAACCCGTAGGGTCCGCACGCTTAACGTTTCGATGACAGTTTTATTATGAGTTTATAAGTTTTGATGTACCGAAGTTTGTTCGGAGTCCCGGATGTGATCGCGGACATGACGAGGAGTCTCGGAATGGTCGAGACATAAAGATTGATATATTGGACGACTATATTCGGACACCGGAAAGGTTCCGGGAGTTTTCGGAGAAAACCGGAGTGCCGGGGGGGTTACTGGAACCCCCCGGGAGAGTTAATGGGCCACATGGGCCTAGGTGGGAAGAGAGAGGGGCGGCCAGGGTGGGCCGCGCGCCCCCTCTCCCTCTGGTCTGAATTGGACTAGGAGGGGGGCGGCGCCCCCCTTTCCTTCCCCCCTCTCCCCCTTCCTTCCCCCTCCTAGTAGGAGTAGGAAAGGAGGAATCCTACTCCTACTAGGAGGAGGATTCCTCCTCCCTTGGCGCGCCCAAAGGGGCCGGCCGGCCTCCCCCCTCCCTCCTTTATATACGGGGGCAGGGAGCACCCCATAGACACACAAGTTGATCTACGGATCGTTCCTTAGCCGTGTGCGGTGCCCCCCTTCATCATATTCCACCTCGGTCATATCGTCGCGGAGTTTAGGCGAAGTCCTGCGCCGGTAGAACATCATCATCGTCACCATGCCGTCGTGCTGACGGAACTCATCTCCGGAGCTCGGCTGGATCGGAGGCCGGAGATCGTCATCGAGCTGAACGTGTGCTGAACTCGGAGGCCACGTACGTTCGGTGCTTGGATCGGTCGGATCGTAAAGACGTACGACTACATCAACCGCGTTGTCATAACGCTTCCGCTTACGGTCTACGAGGGTACGTGGACAACACTCTCCCCTCTCGTTGCTATGTCATCACCATGATCTTGCGTGTGCGTAGGAAATTTTTTGAAATTACTACGTTCCCCAACATCATCTTCTTCCCCTCCCGAAGCTTCCAGGGTCACTTATCGCTAGAAAAAATTCTCCAAAAAGTTTCATGGCATTTGGACTTCGTTTGGTATTGATATTGTGCAAGGTAAAAAAACAAAGAAAAAACAGCAACTGGCACTTGGCACTAAGTTAGTTGGTTAGTCCCAAAAAATGATATAAATTTGCTTGTAAATGTATGTAAACCAGCTAAGATTGATACTATAATAGCATGGAATAACCAAAAATTATAGATACGTTGGAGACCTATCAAGGAGCATTTGAGCTCGGTTGCCGAAACGGTGTCCTCCAATTTGTAGCAAGTTGACATACATCAAGTACTGATTAGGGCCTTCAAGGCGGACCTGTAAACCTCCCGCAACCGTCCGGACCACGTTGTCCGGACCGCAGAAGCCATCCAACATCGGCCTGCAAAGGTCCGCAGAGCAGTCCGAACGTGATTTCTCCCGCAAAATGGAGACAAGTGTGGGGGAGGTTTGCGGGAGTCCGGACCAATCTCAATCCTCTTTTCTGACCGCCCTGGCCCACCAAAAAACCCTCCCCCTCCCGTGTGCGCTCCCTCCCGACGCCAGCTGCCCGCATTCATGCCGCTGCCGAGTGCGCCGCTCCGCATTGAAGGCGGCTCAGGACGGACGCGACCTCTCACTACCTCCACCATTGAAGCGCCGCGCCGGCGGATGGCGCCACCCGCAATGCGTCTCTGGTGTCCACGCGAGTTCAGTGCTGGAGACGCATGACTAGATGGGACGGGATGGATATCTACCGCACCCATTCAATGTCGTTGTTCGTCCGTCTGCCGCCATTAAGTAGGCTCGCCGATCGAGAAACCCACTCTAGCACTGCGCATTGATGCATCCGGATGCCTAGCCTCACCAGTCTCCGCTATATAAAGGCAGTCACACCCGGCTAAATCCACACCACAACACCAGCCCCTCCACATCCTCCTCCCTTGCATTGCATCGACCATGAACGCCAGCGGGAAAGCACTGTGGGATAGTTTGTCGCCAAATATGAAGCCTGCGGTGGTCGTCCTTGCCGCCGCCTGGCATAGCCGTCGTGCCAAGCAGATCGAAACCGGCTTGCCGGCCAGCTCGCCCAAGGTCTCCGACGACGCCGATGACACGACGATGGAGACGGGCTCCGACGACTCCGCCCAGGCTCCCACGCCTCCTCTTCACGCCGGCTTCACCATGGAGCAGGCACATGCGCAGTTCAATGCCTCCTGGCTGAGGTGCAGCCTGCGCTGGTGCCTTTCTCGGCATTCTAATAGGCACAAGAGGAACAACGGTACAACATGTTCCTCACAGAGCAGCACCGGCTGGCGGAGGGCCAGATCTACAGCGAGCGCGCGAGTGAGGAGGCCGTGACGGCCATGGCCGCGGCGAACCCCAACTTCTGGCGGGGCAGCGTGCCATCTACGATGCCGTCCGTGCTCAAGCCTCCACTCGCCAGGAAGCGGCTGTCACGGAGGCGCAACTTCAGGTGATCGCGGAGGAGAGCAACACCAGCTGCGCCTCCTACGCTTCGTCGACGAACCATCAGCCGGCCCAGTGGGACGAAGACAGCGCCGGCGTCACCATTTCTATCGTGGACCTCATGTCCACCGGCGACGGACAGGTCATGGACACTTCCGAGGATGACTAGGCCACGGGAGGCGGCGGTGCCTTGTGTCCCATGTGGGCCGGTTCGTCTCCCATGTTCTACTCTTCCTCATTGGAGAGCGCACCTTCACTTCATCGGTCTTATCGCCTGCGCTCATGGAGACGGCGGGAGGAGGACGACACGGGCTTGGACGCCGGGCGCCGCCGCCATAGGGTAGGTTTAGGGGCGGGTCTTTTTTTGTTCTAAATGTTCGAAATGTAGTTAAATCCGCCGTGTTTGTATGAAATCCGTTATGTCTGTACGAAATTCGGCCGTGTTTGCATGAATTTCATCCGGTTTGTTGAAAAATAGTTTGAAATGTATGTGGCTAGCGTTCAATGTCGACCTCCCGCATCCATGTCCGCGGACTGGTTCCTTTGTCCGCAGACGGATGTGGGCTTTTTTTTTTGCAGGTTGCCGTTGATGATGCACTTAGGTAATAGAAGAAGGATTGTTCTTTGTAGCATTACATCCAGAGGTAAGATACAGGTAAGGTGTTCCTTTTTCTTAGCCTACTTGTCATATTCAAGACCGTTCAACTAGTCATTTTCACTTTAAAATGTTCACTGACGTGCCAACACGTTGACAACTAGTATGAATCTATGGTATTATTTCCAACTCGTTTTCTCGAAAGAAAATTGATGCCAAGCATATAGGGTTATAATTCTGAAACATCTCCACAAAACCTTTCAATATAGCAAAGCACAAATGCCTATCTATTGCATGTTCTTGTCCTGACTTTCATAGAAATGTTAACATCCATTCCAGTATCTTACTTCACTCGTTCGTGTAGAATCGATTCAATTTTCTTGTGGTCCAGTCAAGTGGCTATTTCTGCAACGTTGCGTCCTGCAACCATGTGTTCCGCACTTGTATTTATGACAAGTTTCTCCCTCGGGCACGAAGAGTCATTTTTCTCTAGTACTACTAATTATACCTAAAACCCCGTTGACGCGCAAATTTTGGCGTGGCCAACTTGCCATTAGCTGCCGGCGACCATGTACTCCATGTAGAACAATAGTGTATAAATCACGCAGAGTCTACGCTCGTAGTCGTACTCCATTAATTCCATCTCCGCCCCCGTCCGCTGGCCCGATCTTCCCAGGGCGAGGAACGACGATGAAGCTGCTCTGCATCCTCACGGTGGTCCTCGCCCTCGCGTCCGTCGAGCCCGCCGTCTCGTCCCCCCGGCGCTACGAATCCATCATCACCTTCGGCGACTCCTTCACCGACACCGGAAATGCCATCATCGTCTTGGCGGAGAAATCGCGCTTCGACCCTACGGTGCAGCCTCCCTACGGCATGACGTTCTTCGGCCGCCCCACGGGCCGCTACTCCAACGGCCGCCTCATCATCGACTTCATCGGTACGCACGCCCTTCGGCCGCTCTTACTTGCACACACTTTTACCTTCTTCTTCTCGTGCTGATGTATCTGTGCTTGCTTGGCCGGCGTACGTGCAGCTGAGAAGCTCGATCTGCCGTTCGTCCCGCCGTACCTCTCGCACAACGGCAGCTTCAGCGAGGGCGTCAACTTCGCCGTGGCGGGCGCCACCGCTCTCAACGCCAGTTTCTTCAGAGACATCCCGCTCGTAGGCTCGTTTGTTCTCAACACCAGCTCCAGCGTGCAGCTGGGGTGGTTCGACTCGCTCAAGCCGTCGCTGTGCAGCCCTGCCCAAAGTAATCAATTATTAACACATCCAATTCCAAACTCAATTTGATATGATATCCTTGGGACAGTGAACTTACGTACGCTGTGCGTGTGTTGCAGATTGCCCGGGCTTATTCCACAAGACGCTCTTCTTCATGGGTGAAATTGGCCTCAACGACTACAGCTTTGCGGTCTTCGGAATGACCCTGCCCGAACTAAGATCCATGGTCCCAGACGTCGTCAAAACCATCGCCGCGGCCACTGAGGTAACCGTTGCAGCAAGAGTCAATTACACCACAGGTGTCTGAACTTGGCGAGGAAAATCAGTTTGGTGCTAAAACTTGTGGCATACATTGAATCGGTGATAGAACTTGGCTTGGGCATTCATCTACTGTGCTAATCGTGTTTGTATATGCATAGAGTGATGACGAGGCGCGCCAACATGGCGTGGGACCCAGCGTCGATGACTGGAAGGTACATGCAAGGGCGTGTGCCTCGGTTTTTGGTGAAACCCACCCTGAAATTTTATTTTACTCACAACATGACACTTAATTTTTTTTTGAAAAAATGAATGAAACGTCACTATGGCACTTGGGCCCCACCAGTCAGGGAGGAAATTGGGACGCAAAATAATGCTACGCACAGGATCGAACACACGACCTGTTCCCATCTGGCCGTACAGGCTGTCCGCCGCACAAAGTATCACTTCCGGTCAAAATACAATTTGTATCCTTAATGGACTGAATATAAACGAACACGCACATAAGGCTTAAGTGTGCAACTGTCACCGCAGCCCATTTGCGGATGTTAGTTTTTCTTCCTTTCCTAGAATTCTTTAAAAATATCTAAATTAATAATAATATTCATACAAATGTTCACCACAACCCATCTCGTTTATGGTGGATGTAGGGGCTGTTGTGCCCAGTTAAACTGATATATGGTGTCGCCAGGTTTTCGTCCTGCAGTGGATAATCTCGATGGCGAGTGCTCACAGTGGATTTCCCGACGATGCTCGAATCCTTTCTCCCCTCTCCAGTCTCTTTCTCTGAAATGATGTATTTCTGTTATGTCACAGTAATGGAAAGGGGTTATGCCCGGTTTTAAAAAATGTGTGTAATTATAAAAACTGTTCTTATTTAAAAGAATGTTCATTTTATCCCAAAAATATTCACATATTATTTAAAACAAACATATAATTAAAAAAATATTTATAAATTATAAAAATATTATTTCAAAATATATTCATTTATTTTTAGGCTATATTAATGTGTTCATCGAAAATATTTGTGTATTCTCTTTACCAGACATATTATTGTATATAATAATGTTTACATAATTTAAATAAAAAATTAAAAATTAAAATAATAAATGTGAATTTTATTAGTATTTATGAACTAACAGAATATCATGTGGAAAATGGTCCGCGGCTGCTGCTGCCCATTTAAGCCCCATTTTCGTGCTCACATATTGGTAATTAAGTTTGTCTATCCCAGTGAGACATGAAGCCAGACTTGGAGGCGTGGCTAGCACGGAGCCCATGTTAAGTTGAGGTCGCAGGTTTGAGTCCCCGCTGTCACTTTTGCGTATTGGTTTCCTCTTTGTACTGTTTTCTGCAGGGTGGGCCCCAACTGTCATAGAACGTAGATACATTTTAGGGATTTGTCTAAAATAAAAAACAAGTGGCTTTTCCGTGATGATAAAAATCCAGGGTGTTTTCCACAAAAATCGAACCACACGCCCCTGTCTCCAACTACCTGCCACTGCAACTGGGTCCCATGCCACATTGGCATGCCTTGTCAGCACCCTTTGCGTATATAAACGTGATTTGCACCGTAGATGCACATCGAAGCCAAGTTTTGTCATCGGTTCAATGTACGCCGCAAGTTTTAGCATCAAACTGACTTTTCTCGTCAACTTCAGACACCTGTGGCATAATTGACTCTTGCAGCAACCATGCCGAATCTATCAGTCTGAACAACTCTGTCTGAAGTTGGCCGGTGCTGATCCTGGTACGCGACTCTGTAAATGCCGAGCAGGTGCTACTCGGGCAGGGGGCGAAGACCGTGGTGGTGCCCGGGATCCCGCCGCTGGGATGCATGCCGCCGAATCTGGTGTTCTTCCCCAGCAACGAGTCGGCAGGCTACGAGCCTAGCACCGGATGCCTGAAAGGCCTCAACGAGATCGCCAGGCACCACAACTCGGAGCTGCAGAAGGCCCTCGACAAGGTCCGGGGGAACCACCCGAATGCCCTGGTCATCTACGCCGATTTCTTCACCCCGGTCATCGAGATGGTGGAGTCTCCCCACAAATTTGGTCAGTAACCGTAGCACGGGTTGCCTCTTTGTCATTCTACTGACAGATTTGGCCAATCTCTTGCCATTTTGCTCGTTCTAGCTGTGGTGGTGATCACTGATCAAGATGGCATCGCTTGTTCTGACAATCTGTAGGGCTTACCACGGACGTTCTGAGCTGTTGCTGCGGTGGAGGTGGCAAGTACAACTTCAACATCAGCGCTGGCTGTGGCATGCCAGGCGCTACCGTGTGCGAGGACCCGTCTCAATATCTGTACTGGGACGGCCATTTCACGGAGGCAGCCCACCGCTATATTGCCAAAGGCTGGCTAAACAGCATAAACAGTTGCAAACCCTGGTAGTAACTGGATATGCGGAATTGCATACTTACAACTTTTTTTAATCACCGATATACACGCGTCATGAACGGAATTTCTGTTGTTTTTAAGGCTTGCCAATTCGTCACAAGGTTTTCTATGTACGGAGGCGACTGAGAATTTCTAAATCTTATTAGTCGATCTGATCACGGTTGGAATAGTGTCATGATTCGTGCGGAAAAAAAACTTGTATATTTGCAAGGTGTTGGAAGAATAGCCTACTCTGGATTATTTTTGTTGAAACATAAGCAAAAGATTTGCCTCATATATTATTAATTAAGAGGAAAATAGAGTGTGAAATACAAGCCCCTAGAGGCCTAAATACAAAAGGATTACTCTCCCAAAATGATTGATCGCATTTTCTTCGCACCTGCGGCAATCTAGAGATGGGCCTCGTCTTTGATGGAGTTGAGCAGGATCGGTGGTGGGGTGCACTTTTGGCGGAATACGCAGGTGTTTCATTCATTCCAAATAGACCAACACATGAGCATGATGAGTAATGCCACGACCTTTCTATTGGTAGTGGAGGAGTCGGATCGCTTGATCCACCAATCTTTGATGATTTCTCAAGGTACCAAGAGGAGGTGTTGGTGTTCTCAAGATGAAGCCATTTGTTCGCCCGGCTCCAAAGACATAATGTGTAGCGACACTTGAAGAAGAGGTGCTCTTCAGACTTCTGCACCCGCTTGGAAAGCAGGAAAGAATCACAATTTGGC